GAATGGAAGATGCATTTTTTTATGCATAGCTGTCTCCAGTGCTCAGTGCATGCAATTGTAAGGTTGCAGGCATGTGGGTAGCTCCTCAGCAACACAGGATTGGGTTTGCCTCTTATGCCTTTGCTGAAGTCAGTGGGGAGCTCTGCTGTATTGCTGCTACTTGAACAAGGGATTTCCTTGGAGTGCTGACAGGACTGGAGCAGCTCTCCGCGATGTGCGTGCTGTTGTTGTATCACTTAGCAGTGACCACAAAGGTAGGGAGATCCTTTTCTATACGTGGAGTGACTGCATCTGCCTCTGGTCAGGTATGTCCTAGCAGGTTGTCAGGGAAAGAAAACACATCTGCAGGGATGTCTGAATGACCCCCCCCTTAATGGGTGCCATCCATTAATCTACCCAGTAACTTGTGATCTCATCCTCTTGTGTGACTCTTGCCACAGATGTGGAGAAGGTGTTGGCTTTAGTGCTGACAAGTCAGAGGGGAGAACTTGGGTAGGAGGAGCATGCCAGGCAGGGATGTCCAGTGCAAGAAGTGGCTGATTCAGTGACTGTCATGGGAGGGCTGAGGAGCCTTTCCTCTTCCCCTCTGAGGAATTTTGGGAGCACCAGTGAGCTGCAGTGTGCCAAAGAGGCAGGTTTGGTGTTTAGTCTCTTGGAGATCTTAACTTGGCACAAAATCATGTTGGTGCCTCAGACAAGGCAGTGTTTTGAGCTCTGACATAGGTGTCCATAGCTGGAGTCCGTCCTCCCCAGCTAGAATAGGGTGTTTGGCTGTTCTCTAGCCACTCTGAAAAAACCTGTATTCAAGTTCTGCTCAAACCTGTATTCAGCTTCTGTTCAGTTGCCAAATATTGGTGACTTTTGGGATAGTATCACCCAAGGAAAGTGTTTCTCTAGCACACTTGTGTTTTTTCTGTTCAGCTGTTTTGTTGCTCAGCTTTATGGGAACCTTTGTTCAGGGATGTTTGTTCAGACAAGCTGATCCTAATGGTGTCTTCTGGCCTTCAGAGCAGATAGGATGGCCGCAGCAGGAAGCAGATGTGTTTTGTCAGAACATCTCAGCCAAGTACCTGAATAACCTGTCACTCTGGGATACTCTGGTTTCCAGTCAATCATTGACTTAATCATCGACTTAGATGATGCTAGTGCACATTCCTAACCAACATCTGATTGAACTTCAGTCACCATCATGAATGTAAGGGCAATTTGCATGTCTCCAGACTACTTCTATTGGAACTAATGTTTTTTTCCTTCCGTCTCCCCTGTTTTCTTGGTCATTGAGGGTGCCACAGCAGAGGCACCTGGAGAGATTCAATTGTTGTGCTGAGAAATCCACAGTATGTGGTCAAATTGTTGAAAGGGTCAAAGATTTGAACATCTGAAACTTCAAGATTCACAGCTGAGCTCAGCACTTATTTAAGAGTTTTTCCTTTCTCTGACATAGGCCAAGGTAGCTGCTGTTCTGGTGCTACATGTCTACCTCTTGCATGTGACCAGCAGTGCATCATGCAAGGAAATTGGCTAATGCCTTAATGCTAGGGTAGGGGGAAATCATCTAGTGTTGTGTGCTAGTTTGGAGGCTTTTGATGTATGAAATGTTATGCTGCTAATGCAGATTAAACCATCCTACTAGTGGGTCAGTGGCTGGGAGCCTTTGAGTTTTCATGCATTAGGATTGTATGCTTGAAGCTTTCTGGAGCTCTGTCACTAGAAATGAAAGGATAAAGTGGCAACAAAACTGGAAGGGTTAAAAACCCAGTGAAACGAGGATTAGAAAACTTGCTACACTGAAGCTTTTGTTTCCCCTTTTCCTGTGGAAGCTAATATCTGTCTCTGGGAAGTCTGGGAGGAGGAGGAATTAGCTTGAAATCACTAGAATTTAATGGAAAATGAGAGTTGAGGTTGGCTTGCTCTGTCTCTGCTCATCTGGATGAAGTTGTCAGGTTCCTATGGAGAAGCCATTGGCCTGTTACATGTGCTCCGGGCACCAAACTGGGAGTAACATCTTCCCCACCTATCCACTTTCTGTACCTCTGAGCAAGTTGCGATAACATGATAATCATGGGCTTGGAAGAAGGAATCAAGTCCAGTCTTACATCCAAACATGCGGTGCTGTGCTGGCTACCTCCCCTACTGCTGCTGAGCAGTTCCTTGCCAACCTGAGGGGAGCAGAGCAGGAGATCCCCATGGAGTGATGAGGTGAGTTAGTCATAGGTGCCCTCCACTCTGTTCTTACATGTTTATTTAATAAGGAAATCTCCCTAATCCTGAGATGTTATGTTTGCATTGTGCATGAAGCAGTTACTAGCTAAGGAAGCAGCAAATAACACAAGCCAAAACAAGCCTAATGAAGAAGGATAGCTGACTTTACACTCTGCGTGTATCTGAAGTACAGTTATAGGGAGCTCAAACAGTTGCCTGAGCTGCTTTTGCAAAAGTGCAAATAACATTGCAGACCTGTTGCATCACTTGAAAGCCCAAAGCAGGAGATTTCATTGTGTGCTTGGGGGTAGGGTTATATGCTGAGAATCACTTGCACCAGATGGGACTTTAAATTTTCATCAGCAGGGTTATAAACACAAAGAATATCTCTTTACCAGCCCTTGGGTCTTGTACTAATAAGCTGCAAATGCTGATCTTCAATTAGCATGGAGTGGGGGCGCAGATGAAATGATATATCTTCTTACTGATGATTATCCATCGTGTGAGAATGAAATCAAGACATGAGTAATGGCCTGTTTGGTTGCTTTTTTCTCTCCCCTTAACACCTGCTTGGTAGTATAAGTGAGTGAAAATTGTTAAATAATTTGGCTCAGACTCCCTGGTGATGAAACTCCACTGCAGGCAAATAAAGTGTGAGTTTTCAGCCCTGCTCATTTCTGCTCTGACTTCTGTAGGTGTAGTCTGAGACAGTACTGGGAAGTTGTCAGGGAAGCTCAGGAAAAATGCATCTTCTCAGGATTTAGATCTGGGAATTCTGCATCTAACTTTTTGTGCCTTGCCTTAAAGCTTTACTAGAAAGATAATCTGCTAGAAAGATAAGGCCTAGTGCTGAAAGAGGTATATAAATTTAAATCAGTAAATGAAAAAAGATTATGCTCCAATGAGTCCTTTCTGACTAATCAAACACTGGGATATACCCCTGAATTATTTACTGGTCACTCCTTTGGATTGTATGGATTGTGCCCCAACAGAGGATGACAACTGTATAGTTCATGCTGGCTTATAGTAGAACAGCACTGCAAAGGTCTCTCGTATAGTTCATGCTGGCTTATAATAGTAGAACAGCACTGCAAAGGTCTCTCCTGAGATCGTGAAACCAATAGGATTTTGTTTTCCCTCTGACTGTGCAGGGTTGAGATTTGTAGCTGGAAGCAGCTACTGCTTTTTTTAAATACGGTAGTGAGCTGCACACAAGTAGAAAGGGCGTAGCGTGGCGTGGGGGTCTGCAACTGCTGCAGGAGTCTGAGCGCAAGTGATGCTCAATTGAATTATCAGAGATGCGTGATGCTTCTGTTCTAGCTGAACGGAGGCATCCAGGCTGAGAGATTATGCAGGCAAAGTGGACCTGTTCTGATTAGCCCTGACTTGCTACTCTGATGGCATATGCTGATATTAAAAGGAGGCCTCTATGCTTTTCTTTGTACTGCACTGGAAATGACATTGCAGGCAGAAGGAAAATTCTTAAAATTGCAGAATTGGAGGTGAAGTGAAATTGAAAATAAAGATCAAAGATAGAAAGTAGGGGGAGGAAGAAAGAGGTAATATGGTATGGCTACACAAATCCTTAACTTCATTTTAATGAGTCCCTGAGCCCTCAGGAAGGGGAGGGTAGCCCTTTGCACACCAGGAGGGAAGCAGCACCCTTCTGCCATCACACTGAGATATCCTTTGAAAGTGGTCTCTTACTGAAATAAAGGACTGCAATCCACTTTGTATTCAAAAGCCTATTCAAAAATAGACCAGGCTATTTTCTGATTCCCTCTGTCCTGCTAATGTAACTTGCAGATGATGGCTCTGCAACCTCTGGCTGAGCCCTGCAGAAGACTCTTGTTGGTGACTCAGGTGCTCAGCGGAGAGGCTGGTGAGGAGGTTTTGGCAGTGAGATTGCAGCTGGGGGGACTCAAAGGGCACCACAGCCTGATCCCAGGGCCCTTCATGGAGGCTGCTTGTACTGGAAGCTGTATTTGGCTTGCTGAGCTTCCTGATCATGCCGTTGTCAAGGATCTTGGTGCTGCTGGTGTATTAATTATGTGCAGGCGCCTGGCTGCAGAGAACCCCACTGATTGCATTGGAGTGGAAGTGAGCCACAGTTCTGACCATCTCTTAGATGTGGGTCAGCAAGGCAGGAGGGCAAGAACTAGGCTAGAATGAGCTCTCAGCTTTTACATAAATGTCGTTGTCTATACAAATCCCTGCAGGCTGGGGGGAAGAGGATATAGTGCAGCTGGGTGGCCAAAACAGGACCTTGTGCTTCCACACAATCCCCTTTTGCATGCCTGAACTCTGTAGGTTTGATGGCTCTAGATCTGGTTGGAGGACAAGACTGCATGTGTTATCCTGCAGGGGTAAAACTGGGCAACGTGGAAAGGGAAATACTAGACTTGAGGGGTGAAGGGAGAGCAAGCAAACAGAGGCTGAGCTGCTTGAGTTGCAAACTGAACTTTCCTGTGGCTCAGTTGCCCCCTCTTTGGAAGTGTAGGTGACAGCAACCAGGAGGTGCATTCCACCAAGTAGCTCAGTTGTAGCAGAAGGATGAGGCTAGGACACCTGTGAGATCCCGAAACACAGCCCCTCTGAGTCTATGCAGAAAGCCCCTCTGGCAGTCTGACCAGAGTTTAAAGCAGTACTTCAGCTCACTCCTGCATGGAGTTTGTCAGCCAGATGGCAATGAGGAAGCGGGGGGGAGGGGAGAAAAGGAGGGGGAGAAAAAGGAGAAAACGATTTTGTTACTGGGCTGACCTGGTGACTAATGAGTTTCATTGATCTTGTGCTCACAGGAGAGAGCGAGCTACCATCTGCAGTTCCTGGGGGCTGTTCTGCTAGAGGTGCTGAGAAAGCAAATCTAAAAGCTGGGCTGTGTGAGCCTGCTGAGCCTAGCAACGCTGCACTATCATGGATGTATGAACATGACAGCGCTGAAGATTCCAGTGTCGGGAAATCTCTTGACAGCTTCTATGAGACGTACTGTGAAACACAGCTGGGCAGAAGGGATCCCACATGTGAGGCTGGGTCACGCTGTCTGTCGCAGAAGATTTCAGAGCTAGCAAACCGAGAGGGAACAAAATATGCCTTGCGTTGCCTGCAGATGGCCCAGGTGGTCTTGAACAGAGATGGGTGTAAGATTTTTCCAAACCACCCCACCACTGCTTGTTTCTCAAAGCCAACTGAGGGAGAAGTGATGGAAGAACAAATGAGAACACCTGGACTCTCAGATGATGTCCTGCAACTCCTCTTGAAGCAAACACGGATGGGGCATGGCCCTTGATGTCTTGCATGAGACATGAACAAGAGGCTGCTTGGCTTCTGCCATCAGCTGTAAAGGCTCTGCCTCTGTGTGGATGGCTGAGCTGTGCAAGTTTGCTCATGGACCTGGGATCCTGCAGTATGTAGCACTGCTGGCCTGGCAGTGCTTACTCCTGGCTTGCACCTGAGAGCAAAATGGGTCTGTGTGGTTGGGTGCCAGCAAGGAGGTGGCTAACGTGTTTTCTGACAATGCTTCTTTAGAAGTGTCTGTGCAAATGTATCAACCTAAACAACAGAGGTCATAAAGACTGATTGTGATCTGGGTGAGCTTTTGGGGCAGAAAAAGTGTGTGGGAGAGAAATACTGCTTCTGAGTAGGGTTGTTTTTTCTAGCAGAGGAAAGAAAAAGCCCTGTTGCCTTAGTGATGTTTCTAATGCTTCACATGTGCCAGTTGAGTAGAGGTGTGAATTTTTTTCTTGTCTATATGAGCTGGCAAAAGAGCAGCCTAAAATAAAACAGCTTCCCAAAGTGCCCTGCTGCAGTGTTTGCAGGGAAGCTGCGGTGCTAGAGCCTGCTGCCCTGTTAGCTGACTGCTGGGAGACGTAGAGCACCTGGGAAAAACAGAGCTAAAAAATATCTCAGCAACCAAACCACCAGCTTGAGAATGCTTCAGTGCTGATTTTTCCAGCACTCTCCCTGCCCATTAGCCCCTGCTGGTTTCACCTACTGCAAGATCTGCCCCAGAGCTCTAAAAGAGGGAGCCAATGTTCAGTGCTGACAAGCATAAGACTATGCAAGACTTGATTGCTTTCCTGGTGTGTTGATGGATGAGGGGAAATGTCATCACAGATGTCTGAACCACAGGCTGCCCTGGGGATGACTTCTTTCTGATATGGGTCACTGGAGTTAGCTGCTTACAGCAAATGTTTCCTTTATCTAACAAGCTCTGCTGCTGCAGATCCCCAGTTCTTGCTCTGGTGTTAGCTGGCAAGATCACCGTTGGCATCAGTGAGCCCAACACATGGGTTTCCAGGCTTGGCTTGTGGTGACAGTGTCACCTGCCTGATGCTGAGGGGTGACCCAAATAGCTAGTTCCCGGCTGCTGGCTTTGGTCACTGTCAGCTGTGATGTTTACAGTGCTCCAGGTGTTCTCCTGAGAGGGGGTTATCAACTATTAGAGCTACTATTGATTAATTTGCAGTTGATCTTATATTTCTGTTCTTGAATGATGTTTCAAACTCTTAGAGACACTTGGGTGGGAAAAGATAGTTGCATGGGTCTTGACCCAGGTTGCCAGGCCCATTGCTTTGATGTAGTTCTTGCTTAGCTTCACAGAATGCTGAAGCCTCTGGATTGAACTGTTCTCTGGAGGGCTTGCAAGTCAAAAGGTTTTTGTCTTCTCCGAACTTATTGTTAGGTTTTCATGAAAATTTGGAACCTAATTGTTTTATTATGTTTTCATAATGTAGGTATGTAAAGAAACAGAATAGAGCTGAGCTGGATGGGATTTTCTGGAGCCTAATCCATCGACTTTAATGCTAACAAAACAAGTTCAATGTTTAGGGGAGTCTGACAATCTTGCCAGATGCCTTACTGTGGTGTTGAGTCTAAGTATGTCTGAGTTAAAATACCTAATCATTCCTACCATAAAATGAACTGCTCTGTATCTGGAGAAACCACTTAATTTTAGGAGGTGTTTCATTGGGATTTTATAGCTCAATTGCTTCTATTAAGTTAAACAGGACTGCTTCATGGAGAATAAACACCCATTACTCCTTTTCACACTTGCTGCTAATTAATTTTTTACAAACCTGTGCTGGAACCTGCTGCATGTATTTCCAAGACTGCTGAAAGCCAAATCATTTGCATTACTCATTTCCTGATAAATGTCTCCTTAGTTTTCTCCAAGACAGAACTGAATGCACCACTCTCCTGTCAGGTGTTCCAGGCTAAAACCCCCCGGTCCCTTGGAACATGTTTCATTTTGAAGTGCAGTGTTTGGTGTTTTATGATGCTGCACAGAAGACATTGTAATATTGAATTATTGCTGCTAAGCAATAGCACAGGTGGTCCAACATGTCTGTCTGTGTTCATTCTGTGCAAAGTTGGGTTTTTACAGCCTAAGTAAAAGGGAATCTTTTGGGACAGTTACATTTAAGACTAGTCTTCTGAATCCACAAAACCACTATTTCACAGCCTACTTCCTTGCAAGAAGGGGGCGAAGAGGAGCCTTTAGGAAAGGCAGAAGCAACTATCCAAGGAGGGATCAGCTTCAAATGTGTAGGGCTGCCAGGACGTGCTTCTCTGTACCAATCCCTCCTCTTGCAGAGCAGGATGGCTGGAGACAGCCCTGAGACATCTTCTACTGCTGTCCTGGACCCCTTCCCCACCAGGTTCAAGCTCTGCCTGGCAGCTCCTGTCCTGTAGCCAACTACCCCAGCACCCTTCTGCCAGCCTCCACTCTCTCTCTCTGCCTTTGGTGCTGATAAGATCTCTGGGGGAGGTTTTGCTTCAAAGTGAAATGGATCTTGTCTTTGAGCCCTGAGAACTTGATGTCAGTGAGCAAAGGAGCAGCAAGCCCATGCACAACCACTTGGAGGCATCCTGGCCCCTTTGCTGTTTTACTCCTGTTGCCAGATGATGACTGTCTTCATGGCTGCTTTCACCTGCTGGTGCATCCCCTGCAGGGGTGGCTTTCTGCAGTGATGCCACCTGCTAAGTGGGGAGGCCTCTGTGCCCTTTGTTCTCTGATGCAGATATGGTCAAGGAAGCCTGGAGAGCAAGAGGGAAGTGACGTGTAGGAGGGGACAGCATTTGGGCAAAGAGGAAAAGAGATGGGATCTTGCAGGTCAACATCTAGATGCCTTGCTACTGCAAGTACTCCAGTACAGCTGTGCTGTTCTCTCCAGTTGGAGTGTCTGAGTGTCAGTGCCTTTGAGACAGCTGTTATCCTGCCAGCTCAGCTGCTGTGACCTCCCATCCATTCCCTCTCTGTGCTGGCTGGATCCTAGTGCAGGTACCTGAGCCTTGTGCCCATCACTCTCAGCTGTGGCTTCACATGAGGGTGTTATTCCTGCTTGTCTGGCACAGCTGCTCTGCTCTACAGGCCTTCCTCACAAAGGCAGTAGAAATTAGGCTGTTGACTTAAACTGGAGCAGAAGGAAGGCCCCTCTGGCTCAGCTGGCTGCAAAATAGGGCAGAGATGTTTGAGCTTGGTGCGGCCTCTCTTTGCATATAGGTTTATCAGGTATACTGGGGCTGTCTGGGTTAGGGTTACTGTCCTTAAGTCGTCATGAAGCTGATGCATGGCTTCTCCATGGTTCTGGCTGATGTGTTGGTTTGCCTGCATCGTGACCACCCCAGCTCTGTCACAGCTATGAGAGCACTAATGCTGACAGATGTAGGGAGCTATTGCCAAAGAAGGTGCTCAACACAAATTGGATGTTGTTGCATGTAATTTTTCTCCAGCGCTGATGTCAGTGCCTCAAATGCTGCCTCCTAATCCTTTTGTAGGCTTTTATGGCAGTGTTAACTCACCTGGAAGCTGAAGGCACCCACAGGAGGAGCGAGGTGGCCCTTGCCACTTCTTGGGTGCCAGCTCGCTGGGCTGCAGGCTCAGCTCTTCCACTGTGTGTGCTGGGCAAACTGCTAAGCAAGGAAACAAACTCGCCCGTGGACCTGGCTAGAAAAGAGCCAGCATCTGGTACCTCTGACTTTGCTGCTGTTTGAGAAAGTTGGAGACCTAGCCTGTGCTTAGGCTAGTAATAGAAAATAAACCCTTTGGTTCCTCTAACATCTCAGATTTCTGATCAGACATTTACAGTCCAGCAAAAGAAAAGGGATAAGAGGCCCTGTTACCCTTCCTGTCTTTAGGAAATGAGATGCAAAGACAGGAGAGAGACAAGGTGGATGCTGAAAGAGCCTGAAGACGGATACTGGCAGGGGAGAGCATGAAATGCTTCTGTTCTGAAGAGCGACGTAGGCAGAACAGCCGGGATGCAGCTGAAATATAGGGATTATGACTCACAGCTACAAGTCTTGGCTGGTGTTTGGCAGAGGGCTCAGCGAGCTCTGCGCTGCTGTAATATGCAGGCTTGGGAGAGCGGGTGGGCAGTCAGGAGCGCTGGCAGTTTCTCTGGGCCCTGCTCACTTCCAGGTACAATACGCAGCTTGCGCCAATAAGCGTGCCGTAAATAGATACATGTCTCCTGCTGGGACAGAAGGGACAAAGAGTCCCTTGGAGGCTGTTTCTCTGGAGCAGGCGATACTATTGATGCAGGTCTTGTCTAGAGGGGAGGGGGTGGGTTGTTTTTGTTTTTCTATTAGGCTTGAAATTGGTTTCCCCTCTGGAGTATGGGGCTTTCAGCACCTTCCAAAAGGTTATATTTCATCTTGATTTGGTGGGTGATAATGCAGCATCTGGGATGTGGTTTCGAATGGTTGGCAAAAGTGGGTCTTTCTGCATGGTTGGAAATGCTTGCTATGGGGGTCTCAAACTGCAGAGTGTTTCTAGGGTCACTGACTTCACAGACAGAGCCTCCACCCTGGATGGAAAATGAAGGGGAGAGGGGAAACCATGGCCTTAGCGAATAAAACTGGAAATGATGCGTTTGCGGCTCCCTTCTAGAAAACAGTAGTGAAAGTTCAGGAAGTGGGAAACCTCTTCCCAAGGTCGTGATGCAGGAGGATGACGCATCTAATTTCAGGTGGATGTAGCATAGCTTGGTATAGAGAGGCTTTTTGCTGTGGGTTTTTCTCCCCTTTTGAAATCAAAGACATGAATCAACCCAGCTCTTAATCCAAACATCCATGCTTTTGAAGTGATCTAACTTCTCCCTCGGCCCTATCCCTACGTGTATGTGTAGCAAAGGATGACAACTCCTATCTAAACATTCCTGCCCTTGGGATATCTGGCACCGATTTTGGTGCTGCCGTGACCCTGATGCGCTGCTGAGTGTCCTCTGTCTAGGTGTCTGTTACCACAAGGTGCAAATCTGCCTTCTCCTGTCATGTTGTTGTTCCCTGAATTTCAAATAGGGCTGCCTGTTGCTTGTTGGGTGGCCTTTCCCCCCCCTCCTTGCTAGAGGCCACAAACAGTCACAGGCTCGTTAATTTTCATCTAACTTCTGCTTAGCTGCCCTCAGAGGGACTGAAATACTGGCCTGGAAACGTGGCCATCCATGCGAAGGTAGAAGATGGCTCCTTCCTTTCACAGGCAAAGATTTTTTTTTTTCTTCCTGCAGGTATTGAAGCGCTGAGTGCAGCTTTCAAACACATCGATGCTACTAGACTTCATGTAAGGTCCTTATCTAAAGGTCCTGGGTTTCATACAGCTCTCCCTAGCCAGTGCGGTAGCTCCTGGGAAATGGTTTGCATTCCTTTCTGAGGAAGGAAGGATTTCCCTGCCATGAGGCTGGAGCTGAAACATGCCAGGGCCCTGGGGAGGATTCATGCTGGAGATGTTTGGTTTGGGCATTTACCACCTTGGCTGGCCCAGCTTCCCTCGTGGGCCGCAGGCTGACTCATGCTGCGGCAAGCGCAACCCCCTGCGCTGTGCGCGCGAGCCTCAAGTTGGCCTGGGGTTCGTCTTCGGGCTAAATCCGGCACGTCTGAGGGCTATGTCCGCAGCTGCTAGCCACGGAGCATCGCCTCCCTATTCCCACGGCAAACCTTACGTAAATGTCTGATCCAAAGCCTTTAGTCATCCTTGACAAATTCTCCTACTACGGAGTCGTTGCCCACTTCCCTCCGCTGGGAGCTCCTCCAGGACGGTTGGTATTGATGGCCTCGCTGGTGCTGACTCCGACTGAATTTTTATTTTCCCTCCTACGCAGCTTCTAGTGGGAGGTGCTGATTCATGCCTGAGGCCGGCCTGATCTGGGAGCCAAAAAGGAGTTGGGAAGATCCTCAGCTAGCATCAATGGAGCCACTCCTGTCCCGTGAACGGAGCCGGGGCACTTCATACCAGCGGGGGATCCTTCCCCTGGGATTTAAGTGTTTTGCTGTGCGTGGGTATTTTGGGACGTATGGTTTCTAAAATGAGTGTGCAACAGGCAATATACCTTCTATATAAATGCATCTGTTCCATTATTGAGTGTAGGTGATGGGGGGGCATATGTCTTCCCACAACGTAAGTTCATTTTAAAAATACCCTGCTCTGTAGGCTTTCCCTAATGACTATTTTCTCCACGTTTTTATTAATCAACAACATATGCTCGCATTTCTTCCTTAAAAGCAAGAGCTGGCACATAACAGAACATGAAATAATAAGATGTGATTAAGACAGTAGCTGGAGCTAAGCAAAGCCAGAAAGCTCAAGGCTGAAAGGTCAAACCTTTATTTAAACTGCCTTTGCAGCAGCCTGCTTGTTTGCAGACTCTGTGAATTAAGAAGGAAAGTCTTGTAAGGAAAGAACATCTGGCATGGAAAATCTCACCGCAGTCTGAGTTGGGCAAAGTTTTATTAGCACTAGAAAGTAGGTTCTTGTAATGGGAAGTGTCAGTCAACCTCGAGGCAGGTAGCGTTACCTGTAACAACAGCATCTCGAGGTAGGACGCAGGGCACAGGGCCAGGGATGGCTGTTAAACCGAGGCTAAAAACAGCAGCTCTAGCCAGAGATGCAGAATGATTCTGTGATTAAAAACGCTGAGGTGGGGGTATGGGAGGGCTCGTTTCGGTGCCATGCCCCACAACTCGCTTGCAGTGTGACCTGAACAAATCAGTGTATTCCTGAGTTGCTAGCAGCTGTTTTGGATCGCTGAAAGCTTCAAAGGAAGAGTAAGAGGGCAGGGGATTTATTCCTGTATCTCTGCCAAAGAGGAGCTCCTCTAAAAAGGCTCTACTTAAGCACTGAAATAACACCTTTCTGTCCTTGTGGTGCAGGGCCCCTTGCGTAAGGAAAAGCGACTCGCTGCATCTACTCTGTGAAGTTGGCATGTTTTGCCATCCTTGTCCCTGACCGTCTGGACCGGGGGTCCCTTGGGGAGCGCCTGGTTGCCCTGGCACAGGGAGACACCCAAGGCCAGGTATGCTGGTGGGGAGCTGGGCTGGTGGGGAGGCAGAGAAAGCAGTGAAAGAAGCAGGAGGTCCCGCTCGAGCGGGTTTTGTTGTGTGTGAGCTTAGACCGTTGCTCAGAGCTGCTGCAAAGGCTTGGAGGGCCTTGCCGCAGGCAGCAGTGGATCAGGCTCTAAGTTTAGTCACGCACGGGGTGAGGGTCAGACTGGTTTTTGGGCCCCTTCCTCACATTGCCACCGCCACGTGGCACTTGCACTTGGGGAGATGAGGTGCCATCAGCAGCAAGCCTGCTGTGAGGAGCAAGAAATTAAGCAGGTAAGCACAGACGCTCCTTGAGCAGTGTTTGAGCGTGCCAGATGTCCTCGAAGGGCACATCCTCCCTCTAAGGCTACTAATGTTATTAGGCTGAGTCAGCCCTGCTTGCAAGGCCCCAGAGTGTGCAGTGATAGGGATCTACCACCCTGTCTGGGCTGCGGGGAAGGAGGCGCTGAAGCTGTTAGCGAGGAGGAGTTGGCTGTGTTCATCCGTGGGTGAAGAGGAGGAAGGCTCAGTGCCTTGCATCCCCCTCCAGCCCCAGGGTTACGACTGGATGCTGGGCTTCTCATCAGGGCTTGCACCAGCATATGCTTTTTTCTTCCCCCAAATGTATTTAAAATACTTTCTGCTCAGCTTTTAAAACTTCACGTGCTTTTTCTAAAAGAAAAACCTATGGCCCTTCTGGCACCCAACACGAAGATGCTGAGCACCCTGGGGAGGGTTGACAGCACCCTCAGCCGTGGGAGCTCAGCTCCCGGTGGGTCTGTGCTGCCTCTGCCAAGTCTGGAGAGGGAAGCAGTGGCAGGTTCCTGCGTTGATCCCTCTAGGAAGCAGGTCAAGGCTCTTGACATCTGTCAGTTTCTAGGATGTTTAAGCTTGAAAGAGGTTTTTTCTGTATTCCTCTGCCAGCTCTGTGCTGGCTCTACATCCCTGGCGAGGGGCCCAGCGTGTGTGCTGCAACAGGCTTCGCCCGGGAAAGCTGCAGAGGCGGACGTGTGCCATGGGCAGCTCTGGCTGGTGGTGATTTCCCCCAGGTTGAACATTGGCAAATGTGCCTGTTGCTTGCTCCTGGGGGCCAGCTGCAGCAAACCGCCGCTGCTAGCGCTGAGCGGCACTCCTCAAAAAGTGGCGGTCCTCCAGGGAGTGCGATGGGAGCCTGATGTCCGTTCCCAGGCAGCGGCAAAGTCGCAGACCTCTTGTCGAGAGGCTCGTAAGCGTTGAATTCGTACAGTGTTAATTCTGCTGCTCGCAGAATAGCTATTTTACGCTGACAGACTTCTGATTTTCCTTGAGGAGACAGTGGGGTTTTTGGCAGGGATGGAGGGGACTGTTCAGGTTGCATATGAAAGCCTTCGCTCTTTGGGAGCAGGCAACCAAGAGCAAACTCAGGGTGCTCATGCAAGGAGATGCAATTGCTGTCACTTGGCTTCCGGAGCCGCTATCAGTTTGGCTTTTTTCCCTTTCTGGCTGCTTGTTCCTAGTGTCTTTACAAACCGCGAGGGCTGCTTTTTCAGAGGCGGGGGAATTGCTCTTCTCTGTGGTGCGCTGTGGTGGCAGGGAGGAGGTGGTTTGGCGAAACGTTGGCTCAGTGTTGTGATGCGGTTCCTCTGCCTCGCTGTCAGCGCGAGTTATCTGAAGCTCCTGGAGTCGGAACGGGCAAAGGTAAGACTGGAAAAACCTCACGGGGAGAAGCATGGTGGTGTCCTGTGAGCGGGGAACACCGTGCAAAAAAAAAGCAACATCTCCTACGAGTCCTCTGTTGCCAATATAGTATTTTGCAGAGGAATTATAACAATTATTTGCCTCTAGGAAACTGTCCCTTCATCACAAATACAGGTAGTTGTCTCCTTACCCAGGAGGGAATGCCTGAAAACTGGTGTGTTTATGGCAAAGCCTAAAATGATAGGCCAGGGATGTGCTCTCTGGTCCCGGTTCTCAGCTGGCATCGTTTGAAGGTAGTCTCTAAAGTCACTGAAAATAGGCAAACCTACACCGATGGAGGATCTGCTAGGTATCGGTGGCTCCCAAGGCTGCCTTTAAACCTAAGCCTCTTAAGCCTTTTTCATAAGCATGCAGCATTTCACACAGAGCCTAAAAGACTTAAAATCGTGGTGTGCAAAAATGGGATTTTCTAGTGGGAAGGGATCTTAGCAAAGCCTCCTCTTGCGTCTGGGGGCTTTGCTCTCTCCTTTCTCATAAGGTCTTTTTGCAGCTGGGTTTCTGCTTTTAGTGCCAGTGTAAAAGGCGATTGAAAATCTCTTTGGCAATTCCTTTTGCTCAAGTGTGAGTACTGGTGTCACAAAGCAGACCTCAGCACCGTGCTTTAAGGCTGAAGTCATGTGCAAGTGCATAATGAGGGTTTTTTAGTACAGACATAATCAGCAATAAAAAGCTTCCTTTAAGGTCAATGGTCTGTTGCAGAAATCTATATGTTTTTATCTTGCTAAACTGAAATTTGCTTCTGAAACTTCCATAGCGCTATCAACCTCAGAACGATATTATTCTTACCAAACAGAACCCTTGCTGGGAGTTGAAATGCTATAAATTATTTAAAGCAATAAATTACTAACTAAGCCAGCCTAGTGCCCCAGTCTGTAAATATGAAGGGGAACATACAGCAGTTGACAAAATGCAGGCAGAAACGCTGAATGGGACCGTTTCATTGCCTAAATGAAATTATTTGTGGCGCAAAGGCAGCTGTAAAAGTTGTTTTTGTTTAATGATTAGTAACACCCCAAATAAGGAGGGCTTAAGTCAGCAGTTGGGTTGCAGAAAGCAATTTCCATTCTGTTTGCAGGCTCTTCTCGCCGCACGAGCCCCAGATGTTTTCCCAAAGGGGCTCGCAAGCGTGGTTGCCTGCAGGCTTCACCCCCACCCCGGGGTTTGTCTGGGTGCGCAGTGCCCGCGGGCCGGGGCGATGGCCGAGGCCCCGTGTGCTCCTGGCGCGATGCTGAGCGCCCGAGCCTGGCCGCGGAGACGCGCTGGCGGGGAGGAGGTGGCTCCTGGTGTCAGCCGGGCAATTTCGTGATGGCTGCTGCTGGGGGAGGCTTTAGTCATAGTCAAACTCATAAAGCCGTGAGTAATCATTTAAGGGCTTTTTGAGCTTCAGTGGGTTCAAGGCTGTGTTTTTAGCTTGATGATCAGTCAATCTGGAGCGTCACGTTTTAACTGCAGCTCCAGCGCACCGCTTTCTGACACAAATCACAAATATACATACGTTCAGGTAAGAAGCAGCAGCACGGATAAAAGGAAGAGATTTGTGACCGAAAACCCTCTGCTCTGCAATGGTATTAAGCAAATTAGGACTGACTCTTGCAGGAGGGCAGGAAACAGGCGTTTTGTGGGTTTTTTTTTTTTTTGTATTTTTCTGCTGATATCTTTACAGCTTTAGTGGGCTGTGAGTGCATCCACATGAATTATCTCAGCTGGTATAAGGCTTTTTCTAGAAGACCAAAGGAGTGTCTGTGCCTATATTTTAATATTCCTTAAGATCTATAACATGTCTTAGAGGCATATTCTAAACCTCTTTTCAGTTTGGCCATATAACATTTGGCTATTTCTGTGGTATAGATACAGTACAGAAGAGCTGGAGTAAGGAGAGAGAAAGGTTACGAGTGGGCAAAATCCTTTTTTGTGAAGGACTGAAGGATAATTCAGCAGAGATTCAGCCTGAACTCGTGAGGGTCTCTTGGTTTTGAAGCAGAAATATTTTACAGGATTTTTTTTTAGATTTTCTTTGGGAAAAAAGCTCTGAGACTAGAGATTGGTAGTTGGTTTCTAGCAGTTGTTTCAGTGCTGCCCAAGAGCACCCGGCATGAACCAGATCCCCCCCCGCCTCCATGTGTGGTGCAACTCAAACACAGAGGGGAAAACAGTTGCCTGTGCTAAAGAAATCGCATCTATCTATCACACAGGGTCTCGTCGCAGCTCTTGACTGGAATCCAGTTTTCTGGTGGTTCGCTGCTATTCATGGTAAAGTCCATGTGCTAAGGACACATGTAGTGACAGGCATGTTTAACCTTGTCAGGATATGGGGGGAAAATGTCCCCAAAATATTTTGGTGGAGGCAAAAGGAGATGTGCGTTGTAGACTTGAATTAGAAGCCAATTATTGTGTAATCAGAGACTCAAGTATTTTTATATACTGGTGCATCCCATGGACCCTTCTGCTAGGAACGCGAATTTTTGGATGCTGTTTCAGGTGACAAAGTGGCTAAACCGAATGTGCAAGCTGAGCACCCGTCACAAGCAGCAAACGGCACCACCCCCGGCGTGCGCAAGCAGAGGCTGCCGCGGGGCGCGCGGGGAAGCGCTCAGTCTTTCTCACAGCAGCATCGTCGCATCCCCCACAGGTCTGGCTCAAGCAGATGCTGTTCCTGTTACCTCTACCCTGGCATTTGTCAAACCTTCCCCCAGTCAGGCAAGCAAGCCCTGTCCATCAGCATCACGGTAGGTGCTCGCTGTGGCCTAGACAGCCTTTGCTCAGGATGAAGGAGGGGACCTGAACGCGGTCCTGACTGCCCCCCCCCCCCACCGGCTTTGGTTGGGGGGGGGCCCCGCTGTGCAGCCTTGAAGGGTTGTTCTGCCGTGTCAGGACCCCTCTCCGGACATGGCACAGACTAGCTCCCCTAAGCACCAGCCTGGTCTCTCTCCAGTTGGATGTCTGTTGGATTTTAACTCCTCTGAAGTCACTGCTTTGTTACCATACGAATGGGGAACTGAGCTGGGCACCTGATCCTGCTTGATAATATACACACAGATCTATATATACATGTATAATGACAGCAAAGCCAAAGTATCTGTGCAATCCCATGATCTGCCACGTTGCAACGGGCATTGAATATGCCTAGATCACCGCAAGGATTTTCACTGCCATTAATGAAGCTGAATAGATGATATCCCTTGAGGTGCTGGCTTTTCAGATTTGGCTGGTGTTTTTCTCCAGATCCATCCCCTTAGCACCCTCTGAATGAAAGAGATGAGTTTGTTCATGAAATGGGCTGCAGGATTTTCATTCGGTGAAAACTAATTGGCATCCTAGAATGAAGATAATCCTACCAGCACATCTAATTAGAGGAGAACAAACCCCATATTCCCAGAGCAGTCTCTCTCCAATTTAGCAGGAACTCAGGAGTAGACACGAAAACTTGCTCGTCATCCGTTGAAATTCTAGCTTCCAGCATGAGCCCAATGTGTATTTTTAAAAGCGTTTGTATTTGAGAGAATCCAGCAGGGTAAATACTGTTTATTCGTAATGTGATAGATTGTCACAACATTGAGGCATGAATATCACTGCAGCGCAAGTTCTGACACATCTGAAGTGAGGTTGAGGTGTGCCATTCACAACCCATCAACTGAAATACGCCGCTGCCTGCTGTAATCCCGACTTCTTATTGCACTCGGATCTCTTTGGGTTCTTTTGACAGGAAACTCATGCCAGCTGATACCTGACAGTAAAAGCCTGTGTGACATGACATTGTTTTGAAAATATAAGCTGGCCTAGATCACTGCAGGCAAGATGCTTAGCTTCTCTGTCCCGTTTTCCAGCACTGGATGCAGCAGTCCTTTGGATTGTGCTTTGAAAACCTGCCCGGATGCCAAGGATGTAATGAAATACTCCTCCTCTAGCTCTGTCCCTGCTTCTGTCACAGGCCTCTTGTGTGACCTGCAAGGCTTGTAAATCTTCGTGGCCTCGACTCTGCTCCAATCTGCAGGCATTAGCGTTTGCTCCCAAGAGATCCCAATGTAACTGATAGTAAAGTGTACCTAGCAGTGCTTTAAATCTATCAGTCACAGATATAGGACTTCTTGCCTCTTAGCTGGAGAGATCAGCTCTATGCCTGAGGCGAGGGAGTGTTTCAAAGAAGTCTTACAAACTGAATATAAATAAACCTACCTGCATAGAGGAAAACCAAAGTGAAGCTCAGGCTCACAACTGTCTCTTCTGCTGCAAGAAGGTTTTGGTAGTGGTTATTGTACCAGCTATCAACAGGACTTGGGCGATCCAGGTACTTGGTACGAATATCTTGCAGATACGAAAATAGTCCAGCTATTTCTATTCACATCTTGGATCCCTTGTCCATTTTGACTGTTGTATCCAAGTTAGGTATAGCCAGATAAGTGCTGAAATAAAGCAGCTACACAAGGATAACCATACACTGCTATTTGCATGCCAAGGGAAGCGGAGAACACTTAAATGGCAAACGTTTCACCTAAAATTCCTCCTAGTGAGCAGCTGAGGCCAGGCTGAATCCTCACACTTCACTTGGAGCCAGTGAAGTTCTTCATTGTATTTTGAATTCTGGTCTCAGTTGTACCCCAGTCAAGGCTGGTGATTTCCAGAGAAGCATCTCCCTGTAGAGATGCATCTTGTCCTATAATAGCTACTGTAGGAACCGCCTGAGGGAAGGCGAGCAGGAGAAAGCGCAAAATATTGCAGCGTTAATTTGCTTTTAGTGGTGCCGCAAGTAACTGGGTTCTGTTATTTTGCAGGAATCGTAGCCGGAGTGGCAAGGTGGATGAGGTACCTGGCTTCGCCCCCTGGCCTTAAAGGCTGTCTTCTGAAACCAGCTTAAAAGGGGAGCTTCAGTCCCTGTAGCCACAGATGATGCGGTATGTAAGTGTTCCTAGAGTGCTGTGTCCTTGTGTCCTGCTTCACGTCTTTAAGGGTATATGGTTACAGCAGCCTGCTGCTGTCGATGGACACCGTCATAGTTGATACGCAGAGCGATAACAGGGAACACCACTGTGACAGATGCATCATCCTCCATGAACAGTAGCAATTCGAGGGCTCCCTGCCTAGAAAAGAGCGACTGAAAAACGCACATAAGTTGGAGATGGCCCCGTAAGAGTTAATAGAGGGAAAGACAAAGTTAAGTCCTGGTCTTGCAAGGGCTTGGCCTGGCTCTGAATGGGGCTGGGGGGAGCGGTCGGGCTCGCTGCCCTTCGGCTCTCCGGTCCAAGGCAGGAGAGCGGGGGCCGTTCAAGCCCATCCGGCAAGACTTGGGAGCCGGAGCGAACCTGGAGAGAGGAAGAGCAGACAGGCGGTGGGAGAGGGGCTCCGAAGAGGGGCGGTTTCCTCAGCAGAGCCGAGAAGGCAGGAGAAACGCAGGGGG